ATAGTCACAAGTTAAACTCCTCTTTTAATTTCATATAGATAAAATATCATAAAGGAGTGAGTAACCCTTATTCTTCCATAACTTATGTCTCTTCCCCTTCTAAACTTATGACCCTTGCACTTCTAAAACTCTTGCTATTAACTTTATTTATTCTAACATTTTAATTTGATATTCCAACACGCCCCTTAAAATCAAAATGTCTTTATGCCAAGCATGCCTCTTAGCCTCATGAAAGTTCCACCTGATAATGGCTTGGTGAATATGTCTGCTACTTGTTTAGTGGTGTGACAATGCTTCAGTTCAACGGTTTTCTGCTTTACATGGTCTCTGAGAAAATGAACCATGTATCTATGTGTTTGCTCCTCCCATGATGTATTGGGTTCTTTGCAAGTTGGATGGCAAATTTGTTGTCCACAAAAGTCTTCTTGTGGATGATCCAACTCCTTTAATATGTTTCACAACCAAATTGCTTCACATACTATAGATGCAGCCACCACATACTCTACTTCACATGAAGATAAGGCCACAACTCCTTGCTTCTTTGAGGTCCATGAAAATGCAGTTGACCCAAGATAGAAGATATAGCATGTGGTGCTTTTCCTCTCATCTTGGTCACCTCCCCAGTCACTATTTGAGTAACCAACTAGTTGTGCATTTTCATCATATGCATAGAAGAGACCCAGGTTGAGTGTGCTTTTGATATACCTTAGTATCCTCTTCGCAGCTAGCCAGTGAGACTCCTTTGGTGTCTCCATGTAGCGACTCACAAGTTCGACTCTATAAGTAATATCAGGCCTTGTGATCGTCAAGTATCTCAGGCTGCCAACTAGACTTTTGAAAAGAGTTAGAATCCACGAAACGTCCGTCTCCTTCTATTGAGAGCTTGATTCTGATGGCTACTGGGGTGTTCACAGGGTTGCATTCATTCATCTTGAACTTCCCTAAGATCTCCTTCATGTAATTCTTCTGGGATATAAAAATCCCCTCTTGCTGCTGCTTCACTTCAATGCCAAGAAAATAGGACATCAATACATTGTCCGTCATGTCAAATTCATTGAACATTGCTGCCTTGAATTCAGCAAGCATCTTGATATTGCTTCCTGTGTACAATAAATCATCAACATAAAGATAAATTATTAGAAATTCGGTTTATGGTTTTTTTTCATGTAGATGGCATATTCATAGGGACAATTAATGAAGCCGTTTTGATGAAGATAGCCATCAATTCAGGTGTTCCATGCTTGTGGTGCCTGCTTTAAGTCATACAAGGCTTTCTTCAAATGGTACACTTTGTCTTATTGCCCTTTCACAAGAAAGCCTTCTGGTTATTGCACGTACACCTCTTCCTCAAGAACGCCATTGAGGAATGTTTACTTGACATCCAAATGATATATATTCCACCTGTGATGAGCTGCAAGTGAAATTAATAGTCTCATTGTATCCAGTCAAGCAGCCGGAGCAAAAACTTCTTCATAGTCGATGCCGTACTTTTGTTTGTAACCTTTCACTACAAGCCTCACCTTGTACCAATCAACTTCACCATTCGTTGTGTGCTTGATCTTGTACACTCAGTTGACTCCTATTGCCTTGTGATTTTGTGGAAGTGTTGTCAACTCCCAAGTGTCATTCTTTTGGATGGCGTGGATCTCCTCCTCTATTGTTGTTCGCCAACAATCTTCTTTTATAGCTTCTTGGAAGGTGTGAGGTTCATGATCAGCATATAAGCAGAAGAGATTTGACTCTCCATCTTCTTCTATCTGCTCATAGGTCTTCCTGAGGCTTCTCATTTTTATAGGACCTCGTTGCACGGTAGATCCGCTGCTGCTACCTTCCCCAGAAGATGGAAAACCTCTTGCAAGAGAGCGTGTAGAATGGGGAGGAGATGGTGGTGTAGCTAGTGATTGTTCCTCATGTAGAGACTCATCAGGTTCATTCACCACGGGCTGATTTTTGGTGGTCTCTTCATTGCTCCAGTTCCATGCTTCTTCTTCATTGAAGACAACGTCTCTATTAACAACTAGTTTCTTGGTTAGTGGATTGTAGAGCTTGTATGCCTTCGACTCCTCGCTATATCCGATGAAAATACATTTTTCACCGTGATTGTCAAGCTTCTTCCTTTTGACTCCAGGTACTTGAGAATATGCAACACACCCAAAAATTCATAGGTGTGCCACACTAGGCGTGTAACCGCTCTATGCCTCTTGAGGTGTCTTGTTCTTCACTATCTTTGTGGGGCATCGGTTGCACAAATAAGCTGAGCATGTCATGGCTTCTACCCAGAACTGCTTTGGCAATCCCTTTTCTTTGAGCATGGTTCTTGTCATGTCGATGATGGTCCGGTTCTTTCTTTCTGCAATGCCATTTTGCTATGGTGTGTAGGCAATAGTAAACTGTCTCTTTATACATTGATCCTTGCAATATTCTTGAAATAGATTTGAGGTGTACTCACCACCTCGGTCAGATTGAAGAATTTTTAGCTTGTGGCCGCTCTCTGCTTTAACTAAAACTTTAAAATGCTTGAATGTAGTAAAGGCAGCAGATTTTTCTTTAAGAGTGTACACCCATAACTTTCTACTGAAGTCATCAATGAAGGTTATAAAATATCTATTACCTCCCAAAGAGACGGGATCGATCGGTCCGCAGATGTCGGTGTGAATAAGTTGCAATGGTGTCTTCACTCCATGATTCTCCACTGGGAAAAAGGAACTCTTGGTTGCTTGCCAATTACACAACCTTCACAAATATGATTCGGTGGATCGATTGTTGGTAGACCTCGTACCATGCCAGCTGTAGATAGTAACTTCAGACCGCTGAAGTTTAGATGGTCGAAGAGAAGATGCCACCTCCATGACTCATTCTCCATGAGTCCTTGAAAACACTTGTCGACTTTCGTGTTTAGATGCAAGGGAAACATGCGGTTCCTTGTCATCTTAACACAAGCTATGAGGCCTCCATTTGTATTTTTCAACCAAAGATGCATGCGGTTCCTTGTCATCTTAACACAAGCTATGAGGCCTCCATTTGTATTTTTCAACCAAAGATGGTTATTCTCCATATATACTTTGTATCCCTTTCCTTGTAATTGACCGATGCTAAGAATATTATTTTTCATGTTAGGAATATAGTAAACATCGGAAATATACTCGGACTTACCATCCTTTTGGTAGATTTTAATCTTCTCTTTGCCTTCAACCGTGAGTTTTGAAGAATCTCCGAGGCTCACACTTCCATGAACTCCTTCTGCGGGTTCCATGAAAAGTTCTTTCTTCCCGCACATGTGGTTGCTAGCACCCAAGTCAAGGTACCAAGCATCATTCTTAACACTTGAATCATCATTAGCAAGAAGAAGCGTAAAGTTGTTACCCACATTATTTGTTACTTCAGCAAGATTGGTTTGGTCTTCAGTTTTGTGCCAACAATCTGAAGCATAGTGCCCAAACTTGTGATAGTTATAGCACTGAACATACTTGTTGTTTCCACGCCTAGGTGTGGATCTTCCACGATTGCTTCGTCATCATCCTCTAAACTTGAGTCATTACTTTTTGAGTGGTTTGCTATTGGGGACCACGTCCCCTGTCTCTATCACGACCATGACCACGACCTCTACCTTGTGAGTCTTGATTACTTAGAGTCAATGTTGACTCTAGTACTTGTTCCAAAACTATGAAACTAGCATTCTTTTGCATTCGTTGTTCATGAACTTGGACAGATCCCAAGAGCTCCTCTATTGAGATCTCCTCCAAATTCTTTGACTCCTCAATTGCCGCCACCACGTGCTCGAATTTTGATGTGAAGGATCGGCGCAACTTCTCCATCACTCGGATGTTCTCCATCTTTTCTTCATTTCTCCTCATTTTATTCACAATTAGAAGTAATCGTGAATAATAATCGAAGATTTTTTTCTTCATCTTTCATTTGAGCGGCTTTAAGATCGTCCCTCAAAATTTGGAGGCGAATTCGCTTCACCCGCTCGACACCTTTGTAGATGATAGCAAGGATTTCCCATGCTTCATTGCTCGTTGCTTCGGCAATTATCTCAAAGATAGACTCGTCTAACCCTTGATAGAGTAGAAAACGAGCCTTGCTATCCTTCTTTCTTTGCTCTTTGAGAACCTTCTTCTCTTCGGCAGTGTAGATGGCTTCTACTTCTGGTGTAGGTTCCGTGAACCCATCAATGATCAGCTCCCACAACTCTTGAGAACCAAATAAGGCTCTTATTTGGATTGAACAACTCTAGTTATCTTTCGATAATTTGGGCACTTGAGGATTGACAAGATTATTTGTGGTAGCCATGGGAAGAAGAGATAATGGGAAAATTTGATCAAGTGGCTCTGATACCACTGTTGACTATTAAGTTTAAAAACTTAGAACTCTCGCAAATGAAGACAAAGAACCTACTTTTATTTCTTTAATTTTTTCTAGATGAAACAAGGATTACAATAGCCCTTTATATAGACTTTAAAAAAAAATATAGGCATACCAATAATCACAAATTAAACTCCTCTTTTAATGTCATAAAGATAAAATATCATAAAGGAGTGAGTAACTCTTATTCTTCCATAACCTATATCTCTTCTCATTCTAAACTTATGACATATGACCATTGCACTTCTAAAACTTATGCTATTAACATCATTTATTCTAACATTTTAATTTGATATTCCACCAAGGGACATCACTAGTCCCAACGATTACAACTGTTAGGGCGGACCTCCTTTGTACTAGTGGTCTTTCATGTTAGTTATCAAATTTAATGACTAAATTTAAACAAAATTAAAAAAATTTAACTCTGCATAGTGGGTTAAGTAGGTTATGCCAAGCGACCCCTTAGGAAGTTTTTTTCTGCAATTTCAATGATTGCTTGGGGGTTTAGTGTTTTTGAGTGTTAGACACTTAGACTCCGCAAAACACTGAAAGTTCTTCGGAGTTTATACATTGAAATCTCCCGTATTAGAAAAGAAGATATCATATCTACGTTTTGATCTTGCAATTACCCCACAGTTAGATTTTAATATAACATTCTCACACATCTCCACAGCTTATTATAAAAGTGCCACTTCTACTACTATATAGAATACAAATAGTTTATATATAACATACATAAATGCGAAAGCTAGTTTCAAACATTGGGTTGTTCATATCCCTCCTCCATCGCCGTGAGACGTGGCTGCCTCCTCCGATCTGGCCCTGGACTTCTCAAATTGCTCTTGATCTTTATCGGCGTCCCTCTTCGCATCTGGATTCGCTTCTGAGACTCTACGAGCAGCAGAGAATAGGTCGACGGGCTCAGTATCCGCAATCTTGCCACCTTCAAGAGGTGTGCCGTGCTTGTAACGCACCCTTAGGGACTCGTCCTCAGAGAGCTTCGCCTGCGCAACTCCGTATTTTATATCATCCTTGCTTTTCGCCATAGTCTCTCTAGCTCTCTAGCTGCAGCTAAGACTTGCTGCTTCTGATCTCAGTCAGATTTTTTCGAGTTATAAGTAGGATTTGCTCGATGTAACGCGTGGCAACTGAACCATGCTCCTTATGACAGGTTTGCCTGCTATCTGATGCACGTGGCATGCGATTAGTATTTACTGTTTAACACAGGGTAATTATTTATATTCTGGAGAAAACCCCTTGTTTAGTTTTAATTTGTTCCCTCGAGTGTAGTGTGATTAATGGACGTGCGTGAATCCCGTTTCCGACGCTAGTACCAGAGAGGCGGCAAACGGATCGGATCGGGTTGATTTCGGTCGGATCAAAAGCAATCCCGTCCGTACAATTTATCCCATCTACACGTATTTTAATGGGTTATCCATTCTAACATAGTTGTCCCGTTTACCACATCCATCCAATAAACGGACACCCTGTGATGATTTCAACAGTCTCCTCAGCTGTATAAAAAACGGTTTTTCTATAGAGTGCCCTTGGGCACTCCATAAGAGAGGAGAAAGATACAGAAAAATAAATGAAGAGATGATCCCAATGCAAATCAGGGGGCCCTCTCCTCATTCATTTCTCGCTATCTCTCTCCTCTCTTATAGAGTGCCCAAGGGCACTCTATAGAAAAACCGAAACTTAAAAATTGTAATCTTATCCAACTGTCCAGCTGTAATAAGATCATTAATGTACTAAATTATCTCAATTAATCTCTTATTATCATATCTTTTCTAACTTTGACCGTCTGTTTTAAATCGCCAGCTATGTTACATGATATACGAGCATTGTCATTAGGCCTCGCAACTTCTTAATTAGTTCAGCACACAATAAACACTCCATAAAAATGAGAACGCCATTATCTTCAGTCCCTCTCCAAAGTTTGTTCTTCTGAACTGGTGACAGTCGTGACAATTAACAAGACGGAAAAAAGGAAAAAGGAAGAGCCCTCCCAAAAAAAATAATTCTAATTCTAAATTTACTCCTCAAATTTTCCCACAATTTAACTTTTGACAAAATTTTAACATTTTTAGGAGTAAAATTACCTCTTTAATCCTATTTTAATTATTTTTAAAAACAATATCAGAAAAATGTCATATAATTACAAATCCAACCCATTTCTCTCACATTACTCCCCCCTTTAATTTTCTTTTCCACGATCACTCGTGAATTCTCCAGACGCAACCAAGAAGAAACCACTCTGATTTTCTCGATGAGAACTGTTGTATCATAGAATCGCCAAGTCTAATAAGCTCTTCAAAGTTGGCAACGTATCATATTAACGGGCCGAAAGCTATAATTTGAAAGTCCAACTTGAGTATGAGCACCACCAATCCATCTAACAGTCCGAGTCCTAGGAGAAAAACGTCTTCAAGACGAGATTTGTTAAAGGAACTTGAGTACGAGGTTAAAGACGTCTTCTGCTCGAACTTCACTAGAGAATGTCTCAAATGACGAAATACCCTATTAGCATCACCAATATCATTCACATTAAATAAATGGCCAGTTGGCGCCTGTACTTCACCATCCAGTCACCATCGCATTAAATGTATAGCCACAGTCATTATGATTTCTCGAGCCAAAGTCAAAATGACTCCTTGGACGATACCAGCACTTTCGTTATTCTATCACTATCACATTAAATGCAAAGATGGCTCATTCAACCAACCGCCAACATGTGTGAAGTGTAGTTTGATCAACCGGCTACACCAACCCGACTGAATTACTAGTGTGCCTTCATGAATTCACAATAAATAGTGGATAACCCCACTACACCAAGTTATGCTGAATAAAATCCTAAACTTAAATTCTCCATTCTATGAGCTTGCTTAATCAATTACTGGCTTGAACATAGGATGACACATTAGGAAGATCCTCTCTAACCCTCTAATGAATGTTAATTGTGCGAGGATCTACTTCCTCCTAAGTAATCAACCATCATGGAAGATTAAAGGACCCCGTAAACTCCTTCAAATATCCATCCGCTCATACAATTAACTTTTTAACACAAATAGTTTAACGCCCAATGTGGGGCCCCTTCTCCTTCTTACCTTGAAAAAATAGATGATCGTTTTTGCCCTCTAATCCCTAACTCATATAGTCCCGGAGAATCTTCCAGTTATGGCTATGTCACTTAAGCTTAGCTAGAATAATCCTCCCAAATGATAGTTCTTTGTGACTACAACAATGGTTCTCTTCGTTCACCCTACCACCCCTTTCCTTGGGGGACAACACTGGAAGTAGGAAAATGAAGAGCACCATGACATCAAACACGCTTGGCTATCAATCCCTATTAGACTCGCCAACACCTAGAGGCAACATGCAAAAGTTCAAGCCATGATCCCAGGCACACCGCATGAACAACATCACGAGGTGTAAGGCACAGCTACACAACCCAAACCCTAGTGACTTGGGCCGATACCTTTACAGCCAACCTTATTTCTAGTTATTATCGGACATTCAACACGGTGGTTGAAATCGTTAGAGGAAATAATCCTCTCTCGAATAAAATTATGAATGTTCTCTGCCCTAAGTTCTAGATGCCACACATCGAGAAATATAAGGGTGAAGGCAACCTGGCCGAACATACATAGAATTTTATTGACATGATGTGCATGTAGCATGTGACAAATCCGATCATCTGCAGACCTTTTTTTCTCACCCTCAATGGCAGCGCTAATATGGGCTGGAATTCTCTAGAGAAGAAGTATGTTCATAGATACAAACAACTCAGGTAGAAGCTCGTATCCAACTTCCTGACAAACACAAAGAAGAAGCCCCCCTTCGCTCACAGAGACCTTGCAAAACTCTAAAAGAGTATTTCAAAAGCTTCCAAGCTAAGCAGTTGGAGGTAGAAGACCCCGGCAACATGGTGGCAATGGCGGCAATAATCTCTAATCTAGAAGATGATAAACTATCTGACACGCTCATCATGAATCTCCTGGTTAACTTTGACCAAATCATGGCCATACACAAAGACAGTCGCCTCCATAAGAAGGCGACTTGAAAGCAGTTGTCGAAGCCAATTCTTTTAGGGGCAAGAAGACTGGAGGCGACCAACCCGAGTCTAAGTCCAGATCCGAATGACTTGCTAGGAGAGATCAGAAAAAGGATGCAATGAGGAGAGCAGTGTTCACCCCCCTCAAAGCTTCCCTCTCACAAGTATTGTATCTGATTCCGAAGGAGGGGCATCATACCAAAACTCTATCTCATATGACTTTAAATCCTTGTAAGAGAGATCTTTGACAATATTGCTGCTATTATCGGGACCATTTTCATGACCCGATGACTATAGAATTCTACAAAGAGGCATCAGGGATCCCATCAAAAGAGGGTGGTTGAAGAAATTGTCAACAATCATAGAAAGGAGGAACCGGCCCCTAATAAATTAGCGAGAAGGAGATCAAAATCAAGATCACCCCATGTAGTAAGCTTATTCTGTTAGATCATCAGGATTTTTTTTTCCTCTCGGGTCAGTCGACTGATAGATCATCAGTCGACTAATAGAGACATATTAATTGTGAATGCTCGCTGTTCGGTCGACTGATGGGATATCAGTCGACTAATCGAGTGTCAGTCGACTGCTTCCTAAGGGCCAGTTGACTAATTCAGTGTTGTTTTTGCGTGTGTTGATCTTCCATGCACGTTTGGTTATGATTTGAAGGGTAGAAAGGAACTAATATAGTTCTCTAAGTGTACAAAAATTGCGTACCTTTGGTCATTAGGTGATGTACCTATTTCTACCAAGCTGACGAGGCTATTTATATAATCTTGGCTGAGTCCATATAGTAAGCTTATTCTGTTGATACTTTACAGGTATCGGTTGTGGGCGGCATGAGTCATCCTTGTGATTAATACAATGGTGACAGGGGAGTGAGGTGCTGACAGGGTTCGATGAGCCATTAAGACACTGTGGGGGATTTAATCATGACTCCGACCGTTCATTTAATATGATGGTGATTGGTTGTTCGCAAGGGGTGCGAGAATGACCACCTTCCATCTTGGCTTTATGAGAGGACTGAGAAAAGATGCCTTTCGTCTCGACCCTCGAGGGATATGAGAAGAGACGCCTTTCGTCTCGGCTTTTGACGGGGATGAGAAGGGATGACTTTCGTCTCGGCCTTTGAGGGAGACAATAAGTCAGTGTATCGAGGTTGAGTCAGTGTATAGTCTATTTGAGTCACGTGTCAGTTAGTTGAATGTGATTAACACTTAATTATTTCTACGGTCCAACAATAATGGATTACCCCACTACACCAAGGTACATTGAATAAAATCTTAAAACTAGATTATGCATTCTACAAGCTTTCTTGATCTATCACCGACTAGAATGTCAGAGAGCATGCTGAGGAAATCCTCAGCGGCCCTCTAATGAGTGTTACCTGTGCAGGATCTGCTTCCTCCTAATTAGTCAGTCACTAGGGAAGATTAAGGGACACTAAACTCCTCCAAATATCCATCCACTAATACAATTAACTTTCTGACCCAAGCAGGAACCAAGATCATCTTCCTCATCGTCACAATCTACAACACCCAATTTTTAGTTTCTAGGTCTTCCCAAAAATTTTCCAATGGTAATGTCTCGAGCATCATCCGAGAAGCAATTCATGCTTATTGGGACCAATCCATGTATGTTAAAAGTTCAACATTTATAATGAGGGGGAACTACCATATCGTTGTGCAGTCATTGATTCATCTATGAGGTCTGAGGACCTAAACCTGCTAAGCTTGGTACTCTGGAGAGGAGTTGGCATTATAATTTTTTCCTGTGAACTCGCATGGTAATTTCCTTTTTCGCCTTTAATTCTCCATTAGGGATCTGTACTTTGCAGGGTCCCTAAAGAACCACTAAAGGCCACCTATGGAGCCAGACCAAAAAAAAAAAGAAAAAGAAAAACGAAACACGATGCGCGTTATTCTACAAGGCTGCATTTGGCAAGAGGATAAATGCGGGGTTAAGTGGGTTTAACCGCCATTAGCCTACCAAACAGAAAAAGGGAAAGGATTAACAAAC